GTAGAGTGAGAAATAGGAAATTAGTTCTGCTAGATCCGAGTACCAGACACCTGCCTTTGCCTTGGAGCAGACTAATCAGAAGCCAGTGTTGAACTGGCCGGTGGAACCCAACGCTGTCCTCGGGGTGGCACAGGAACTCCTTGCCTTGTGCCTGCTTTGCAAGTTGGTCACCTCGGGGGAGAGGGCCGGTGCCCGTGAGAGCTGGGTGCCGGGGTGAGCCGCCTGTGTGAGGGCAGTTGCTTGCCAGATACATTAGATGTGTGGGCTATCCATATGACTTTTTATTTTCAGACATTTATTGGAAGGTGCCATACTCCTCAATAAAGAAAAGCACTACACTGCAGCTCCCCAAATCACTGCACCCACGGTGGGCTTTGAAATGGTGTCTTTTTTTTTTTTTTAAATAAAGCACCAGATTTTTATCTCTTTTTTGCCATCTCTAGTTAATATTAGACAGCTAAAACCCCCTAAGTTATGTTCCTTTTACTGTTATGTTCCTGGCCCTTCCTAAAATTCTGGTCTGTGTGTTAAGTATGCACAGGACCCAAAGAAAGAGCAGGACTACAGTAGTTGTGTATCGTACTGCCTGGTGCTGCTTTAAGCCAAATGCTATGCAAGGCATTTGCATTTTTCTGATACAATCTTATTTTTCTAAAAATGGGTAACTTTATGCTAAAATAAACTGGAAAAAAATCCTCATCTGCCCTGTCTATCTGTCAAATCTGTTCTGAAATAGCTCCTACATCAAGGTGTAATAGCAACATTTAAACTTAGGGAAAACTAAAATAGTCCTTGATTGATGGATATTACCTGAAAGTCTTTTATTAATTTTTTTTTGCACCCCCCTCCCCCCAAGAAAAATCACTTTAATATTTTCCTTTTGTGCCAGTTTCAGCACAAGTAAGATTCTAAAAGGCAGTGTTTTCTAGATGGAGTTCACACATTACATGATTACGCCCATTTTATGGACAGTATCGTTGAGTACCTGGGAGTACCATCTCCTACAGCAGCAATCAGAAGCTGAATTCAGACCTTGGACAAGAAAGGGAGTTCAGCACACTAATGTAAAAAAATTAGCCATTTCTGCCTGTATTTAGATTAAGACACCATAAAAGCATTTCGCTGCACAATTGCCAAATCTTGAATTTCCATTTCACTAACAGAGATGGGTGCCTGCTGCCACTTCATGGAAACCATCACCCAAAGTGAAACCCCCACCTAAAGCACAGACGTGGAGCTCTCTAACAATAAACTACAGTTACTTAGCTGCAAAGCTCTTCGGCCCTGAACAGGTCACGTTTCTGCAGTGACGCTGGGTCTTCACCAGGACAGAAGAGTTTGTACAGGAGCTTTCTAGGCAAGGAAAGTGGGAACAAGTGGGTTTGTGTTCCTTTGATGGTTACTGATTCATCAGGCAGACGATAGCTACATGCACAGATGGGGAAAAAAAAAAAAAAAAAAAAAAAAAAAATCGCAAGCCACATACTGAAATTCTCTTCCATGGGAGCTCCTAACACCAATAATGGGTTACTGGCATCAGGGTCTTCCAGTCAGCTCAACCCTCCCCAGGAAGGGTAAGCACCCTCCCGCTCCACCAGCCTTTATTTCTCGCTCTTACCTTGCCGTGTTGAGGTATCACCGTGTTCGAAGACTAAAGCTACAGTGTACTTACATTCACCATCCAATGAAAGCACAACAATAAGTTTTTCCCCCAGGTTTATTTACTAAATTGTTTCACATTCAATGAAATAGTTACAACAATACTTGCAGAGCATTTTCACAAGAGCAAACATATTGAGAACACTAGTAAAGACCGAGAATGCAGGTTACAGTTATTTTCCTGTTGAACTCAAATGCTGCTTTTGTAAACAATAACAAAACCAGAAGACTGCTGCTAAAAAAGATGTACACATAAAAACACTCTACGTACACAAAACTACATGTATCATTTTATACTCTCAACCAAAGCACTCTGGTCAAGTCCGAGTACAATTTGGTATTCTCCGTACAAATATTAAATCCTGCTAAAAATTATAGTTATCCTTCGGTTTAAAATACAGCACAGCGCATAAGGCAAAAAAATAGGAATTATCATCCAGTTCTTTGTGTTTCAGTTAAATATCAAGAATTTAAGGCAAGTTTGGACATTTTGCATTGTTTCATATAGTGAATGGGGACTTACAGATGGCAAATGCACGAAAGTAACACGCTATCTCCCAGAAAAAGTTAACTGTTTGTAATGCGTAGTGGACACATTTGCCCCTCTAGAAATTCCAACTAGACTTTCTCTTTCTGAAAGAAACGCGTTCCTTGAAGGAGAGACTGTCAAGAAGCTTCCAGATGAATATCTTAAAAAAAGGAGAGATTCAGGAACTGTATGTACACGTATAAACTCATACCCACTTTAAAGTGCTTTGCAGATAATTTTGAAGGATTAAGAAATAGAACTGGATGATAATTTATAGTTGTATGACATCTTATTTGAAGGTCCTTTATCTTTAAACAGCAAGACAGACATTACAATGAGACTATTGTTCTTTAAGTGCAGATTTAAAAGGATTGTTGTGTCTGATCTTCCTATAACCAAGCACTTCAGTGAACAGGACAAGCAGCACCGGAACAGAAAATGAACGTGGCATGATTTTAAGTGACACGATCCCTAAACTGACACACCCTTCGATCCGTTTCTAGCTAAACAGTCCATCTAATAACAGCAGTATGTTTCATTAGGCGTTTTCCCCATTCTTCATACCAAGTCTGCATACTAAAAAAATTGTTTACGTTGCTATCTTAAATTTAGCAATACCACATTACACAATATTGGGTCAACCTCTATGACCTAATTTAACATTGCCGCTGCCTAGGTAAAGAGAATAAAACATTTTGCAATTTTAAGTGCTTTGACTTCCATAAATGAAAGACATTTATATAAACATTGAATAACCATCAATACCACCCTGACCTATGGATTTTTTGTTCTGAGGAAGTTAAAACGATTTCTCTACCTTGCATGGCTTTCTACTAACTGAACACAGTGTTTACTAATACTTCCAATCAGAACATGTATGTGAGATTCTTCATTCCTGGAATCCTGCTGTAGTTAAGCTCTAAAAGGTATGGTATATACCAAACTGTGTGGAAAGCCTCCCATCAATAAAAGGCATAATCCTCTCTCTTTTAGGTAAGGAATTTTTCTTATTTTAGTATCAGTTTGTTAAGCATCTTTATCTCTGGTATATATTGGAAGAGACAATAATCAACGGCATCTCTGTGAAACAGACTGAAAAGTAAACCAACGCAAGTAAACATTCAGCTTGTGCATTTACCTGCACAGAACAAGAAGGGAATCTATGCAACAGGTTGAAACATCTCCCTTAATCCCCAGCCCCAAACCTGCACCCCTTCCTTCTCCTCCCCACACGCAAACACGCAACATACAACCACGTAGCTACTTGTGTCCTATCAACAGATTCACTGGAATAATTAAATTATGCTATTATTGCTATATAACTGCAATCCTTACTGGGTCAAATAAACTGCATTGAAAATCCTGAAATTGTGAATTTTATTTGCTTTTAAAGTCCTGCTTCATTCTACCCAATTTCAAGAATATGTGCAGGCTTTTATAATCTGTGCAAACACCTGTTATCTATGAATAATGTTTTATGGTGAAAACACCCTCGCTTCCTTGACTGGTTAAAATCTGAACGTTAGCATATGGAAGCACAAGGAAAACCACTGTTTGCCTGGCTGCAATTAGCTTTGCAGGAACTTAGAATAAATAAAGTACACTCAAAACCCACCACTTAGCATACGTAGAAAGAAATGGCTTTTAAAGCAACTATTTCAAATATTATTGCACCTTCAAATTAATACTATATGGGCTTGAAAAACAAGGGGAAACAAACATTAATTTAACATGTTAAAACAAGGGGAAAATAACTCTGGAGGCAGAAAAATTCTTCAGTACCAGGCCTGGCAATATACATACAAACATCAAAACAGAAATTCAAGATAAGCACAATTCCTACTTAAAATCAGAAGACAAACCAAAATATTCTAAATTAGCTAAGATTCATATTTATTCAGTCATCTATTTTAAATAATGGTTATAACCCACAGCATTGCTTTCTATTTATCTGCCCAAATTTTCACTAAGTTTAGGGCTATCACAAAGTCGTATCTCTTGAGATTCTGGTTAATCACAGGACCCAACCTTCAGTACTCTGTTACACAGGACACACGCTTGGGATGAGCAACTACACCCCACGATTTTCATTCATTGCAACCTGTGTTAAAGGCAAGATTGTCTGAAGAACCCGAGATGGGATCTCACTATTCACTCCCTATTTACGTATTTGTGAGAACAGGAACAATAAACGTAGATCTTCTGGGGAAAAAAAAAGTAACAAATGTAGAGCTCATTCAATACACTGTGTTATTCTTGACAGTTTTCATAGGCACCAATGTATCAAGCAAATAAGAAACAAAACCACTAGAACAATCAAAATAATCATGCTTTATGCATACTGCACTAAAATCAGTAACAGCCTTACTGTTAAGTCCTACATTTAGCACCATTTTTATATCTGAACACTCTGAGAAAGCAATCATACATTCTTTTAAAAAAGGAAGTTATACGGAATATGGACACAAGCGCGCTTGGGAGAAGGATGGGACCAATTCATTTTTGAGCATTTTTATTTTACATCATGCTATGAATGCTGCTGTGGCATCTTCTGATGCATTACTGTTGTAATTTTTCCTTGCATTACAATTGAAACCACACAGCAGACTAGCAAGATTAAGTCATTTAATCTAGCACTCATTTATCCACAAAAAGAAAATAAAAGGGAAAATTAAAAATGTGATTTTTCTTCATCAGATCTAAAAATTTTGTTACGAGGCAATAAATTTGCCTTGCAAATTTCTTTAAGTAGTTACTAATTATCATCCCAGCCCTCCCATCAGTAAGCGGGTAACAAAGGGGAGTGTACAAGCAACATACTATGACATTTATTATTTACAAACCTTGAGATACAGAAACAAGGCAGCCCTTTAGTTACTGTTAATAAAAAAAAAAATTATGAAGCACTGGCATTTTCTTAGTATGAAGACACAACCAGATGACTATCAGCAAACTGTCCAGTCATACAACACATTCACACATCTTTCACCCCAAGCACAGTAAACTTCGTATTTCATAGTAGGCAGGAGGAAGAGAGACAAGCTCTAGAAAGTGAAAGGGTTAGACGTACAGTAAGTTTTCTAACCATATCCCAGGCATGTACAGTACTCTCTAAAATCCACTGCCATTAACAGGATGCTACCTAAACCCAGCTGGTAAATAAGCTTTCCATTCCTTCTGCCTGTGTCACTAAAGTAACAAAGGCCAATTGCCGGAAGAAAACAAATCCTTCCTCATTTCAACCCCAACTTCACCACATTCCTCCAACTTCCCAACTTCAGAAAACGTAGCTTATGGTCTCCATCAGCAGGGTTTTTTTTTCAAGCAGATTAAGCTCCATCTTTGCACCAGCTCCATAAAGTCCTGCTTTTCATCAAAGTGCAGTCAAGCCAAAATTGCATCGACAGTACATCATCCCAGCAGAGTCCAGCCAGGTATCTGAGATGGGATCGTACTTCTGTACAGTGTTCAGATAGGACGACCCTGAATGACCCCCAACTACATAAAGGTAGTTATCAATTACAGCCGCACCAACTCCTGTTGGAAAGAAAAAAATAACAAGATTGCATGATCACCAAGTGTGGAAATAAGTAGTATTTTTGTTCCTAATTGGAACCACCACCCCTCCACCTGAATGCTGAACAAAGTTCTCACAGCCTCTCCCTCTTTGGGCTGTCTTTGAAGAAAACGAGTGTTTTCTCTGTTCAGGTCTCACACTCCTTTTTTGGTGTTCTCGCACCCTTTCCTATGACAAAGCAATGCTCTTCTGTGGCAATACTCTTCATCAGGGAGACAGAAGAGAGGATGCACTACTGAGTCTCAATGTAAAATAACATACATTAGAACAGTAACCACAGAATTGCTGGAACTCGCTAAAATCCACGTGAAATGGAGTAGAAATATTACTTCATATACTTCATATTATTTTTGTTACAGCTCAGTATTAATAAACTGCACTGTAATTAGAAATAGAGAAATAAATGCTCATTCTTCCACAGAGCTGATTAAGTGATCTTCATTCATAGATGAAGTGCAATGCTCTGTAGACAAGTCACTGCAACTTTACTGCAGCTTTTATCAGGTCAAACGGCAGTTTATTTCTGAAAGGATACCCAAGTTAACTGCTGAGAGTTTTCTATGTCCCTACCTGTTCTGGGTTCCTTCATGGGTCGACACACAGTCCACTGATTTTGATGAGGATCGTATCTCTCTATGCTTGATAAGTGAGACACACCATTGTGTCCACCTACTACAAAAATGAAGCCCAGCATGACACCGACACCAAAGTTTATTCGTTTATCAGCCATTGAAGCTACTGTCTCCCACGAATTTTTACTTGGATCGTAACGCTCCATGCTGCAAATACAAACAAACAACCTGTGAGACTTGGATTTTAGTGACATTTGAATTTCATTCCGCAAGAAATGTGCATTTGTCAGAGGTACATCTAATTCTGCCAACCAGTATTATCACATGCAGGAATAATGCAACACAAAGAAAAAGTGCTTGAGCTGATGGAAAATTCCTCAACAGAGCTGCTTTGTACTACCCAACAGTAGCACACAAGAAACTAAAGCCAGTGTTATCACCCCAGAAGCATCAATCACATCCTAGGGTCCTTGGACAACACAAAGCAGCTGGAGGTTCTCAGCAGAGTGTTGCCAAAAAGTAGTTTTAACATATTTCATCCTGACACACCA